GTGTGTTTACCAAAAACGATTTGGGCAAACTCTTGAACCAACTTGGCCCATTTCTCACACCCACCCTGGATCTGGGCATTCGGAGAATCTTGACTGTCGGGTAAACAAACAGAGAACTGGGTGGTCATACAGGAGCTCCGATTCAAGATAAATTTATCCCAAAATAATCGGTGACGCAAATTCTCCCTTCCCCTAAAACCATTGTGAAGTAATAGCATGATTCCGAACGGATTTGTTACTGTATGTTCTGTTTTCTTTTTGTTTCGTCAAATGTATTCTTTCTTTTGTTACGAAGATTAGATTGAAACCAGAACCATACGCACAAATGCGTATCTAATTCAATTATCTTAATGCAATTAGATACTCTCCCCCTGTCTAAATTTCACTCGAAAACCCGAAATCTGTTACAGTCTTTTTAGAATAACTCAATTTAAAAGTTTGAAGAAGAGTGCAAACTAAATTCAGTTTTCTTTTCAGTATGCAATGTGATTTACATAAATTCCGTCTGGTTCGTAAACAAAATTCATTGACTTACTAAACAATTGATTATGCAATAAGCAGTCAGCCCAAAGAGTATGGTTGTCTCTTGTGCGTGGCTGGAGCTAATCACAGTGTTTCAAACCAATCAATAACAAGAAAAAAAACAATTGAACACCGAGAAAAAAATCACGATTTGAAATATTAGGGTCCCCTATATCCAATACGTTGGAACCGATAGAAGACAAATACTGCAAGATGTTAACATGTTACTGGATAATGGTTATCTAGTGAAATTTATTGATGTACACAGCAGACAAAAGACACCGGGTGATCTCGTCTGCGAAGTACCGAAGAAGAACGTCTTCCTGAGACTCATCTTTGAAGGTGATCATATAATGAACGACGTGTGTCAAAAGTTAAAGGCTGCATTGTGTCGAACGCTTCCTTCCGCACAGCTTCGATTGACACAGTGCACCCAAGGGCAATCAAAAACAGAACCAGCCGAACAATTATGCTTCATATATCGTCTACCAGTTCATCTGCAGTTGCGGTGACACTTACATTGGCAAAACGCATCGGCCCCTGGCACAGCGGATGTCTGAACACATTCCCGAGTGGTTGGTACAATCGAAGACTCAACAAAATCTTACAGGTCAAACTGTTAAGAGAAATCCAGGGTCGTCAATCGCAAAACATCTCATGGCAACTGGACACATCGTTGACCCACAAATCTCGTTCAAGTCGTTAGTACGTAACATGGACCCCCAGGATTTTGGCGTTTAGTGAAGCGATGCTAATAAAGTTACGTAACCCAATCGTGTGCGCACAAAAGTTTCTTACACAATCAGTCAGACTGCCTCGGAACTGATTTCCCACCCCACCCTCTATCCCGCTTCCCTGACTATTGTCCGTTTTACCACTGTAGTTACCAAAACTTGCGTGCATAAATGCCAGATTGTTTTACGTTGTGGCGACTGAAGAGACTGAAAGAATCACGATTGCTATTCATTCATTTGTACGCAGCTATTATTACTTCCATCCTGCGCAGTGAAGTCACTTCAAAGCATGAGAGTTGATCACACGCACAAACATGCACTGGAACTGGGTCACAGTGCCTAACAATTTAAATAGCGGTAGTGTTGTGATGTATTACTCACATTTTTCAGTAGTACACAAAAGGATGCGATTGACGGTTTATTTCAACGGTCGAAAACGAACAGAACCGATTAGAGCAAATTACTGTGTTCAAAATGACAACTGCAACCTGTTCCGTTCATTATCCCGTGTGTGGCCGGGAATTGAGATAAAGTATTCAGAATGAGATCTACATATATGATATATATTTACGCCACATTAACGATACCGTAAGTCTGGTTCGTAATAAACAAGTCTCCTCAAGCCACCACTGATCTTCTGGAATTATAACAGCTAGTACTGTTGCCGGAGTTCCAGGACCTGCAACTTTCGAGGACGGAGAGGTGCGAACATTCGTGAAGGAGTTTGTGGACGTCGCGGAGCTGGTGAGACGGACCGGAGTGAGTTGACGGCCCTTCGAGGGCTTCTCAAGGGGTGGGCGCGGGTGATGTTGGATGCGGCGAGAAAGGAGACCCGGAGAAGATAAAGTTGGCCGTCACAAAGGACGCCCTCATCGCGGGTTTCATCACCTCCGACCGACCACCGGGATGCTTTGTGGAGTTCCAGGCCGGCTCAACTCAGAGTTGGCATACCGTGGCCCTGCGCGCTCTGTTGAATC